AACCCAAACACCCACCCCCACAACCCTTGCACACCACTTTGACACCCTATCCCTCCGTGAACCCTCTTGGTATACGGACACCGGTGCATCCCATCATATCGCTTCTGACCCAGGTACTATTTCTCATGTTAATTCTCAATCTTTATATTCACCATTATATATCACTGTTGGTAATGGATCTAAGGTTAGCACTACGGCTGTTGGTAGCCATACCCTCCCCACCACCCCTTCCCTATCCCTCAAAAATATTCTTATTTCTCCTCACATCACCCACAACCTCATCTCTGTTCGTCAACTCACTCGCGATAATAACTGTTTCGTTGAATTTGACGCTAATGGTTTTTCTGTGAAGGATCGTCAGACGGGCACCGTGATACATCGCTCCAATGATATGGGACCCCTCTACCCCCTAGGACACCCAGTTGCCGCTCAAGCCAATGTCGCCGCTGTCAATCTTCAGACCTGGCACCGGCGCCTAGGCCACCCCAGTCAAACTGTCCTCAGCAATATTTCGTAGTGCTATGAAAGATCCAAACTGGCATGCTGCTATGTGTGATGAATATAATGCATTGTTAAAGAATGACACATGGGAACTAGTACCCCCCTCCCCCACCCAAAACATAATCACCGGTAAATGGCTCTTTAGACACAAATTTGGCCCGTCTGGTGAGTTATCCAGGTATAAGGCCCGATGTGTGGTCCGCGGATTCAATCAGCATTTTGGCGTCGACTACAGCGAAACCTTCAGCCCCGTGATCAAGCCTGCCACGGTCCGCATCGTCCTTAGCCTCGCATTGTCTCGTGAGTGGCCCATCCATCAGCTAGATGTCAAAAATGCTTTCCTCCATGGACAACTTCAGGAAACCGTGTATGCCAGCCAGCCTTCAGGATTTCAGGATCCTGAACGACCCCATCATGTCTGTCGCCTCAAGAAAGCTCTTTATGGCCTGAAACACGCACCCCGGTCATGGTATCACAGATTTGCAGGTTTTATTCAGACTATTGGATTTCGCGGATGCAAGTCTGACACATCTCTTTTCATCTTCACGCATGCATCGGGGACCGCCTACCTCCTGTTATATGTTGATGACATCGTACTCACTGCCTCCTCGCCATCACTACTACAGAGTCTCATTCAGAAACTCAAGGCTGAGTTTGCCATGACAGACATGAGTGACCTGCACTTTTTCCTCGACATCAATGTTCACAGCACAGCTCAGGGTCTCTTCCTTCATCAGACACAGTTCACCCACGACATCCTTGAGCGGGCAGGGATGGTCTCCTGTCGCCCCATATCCACTCCCGTCGACACAAAGGCAAAGCTCTCCACCTCCTTCGACACGGCACTTCCAGACCCCTCCTGTACAGGTCCATAGTTGGTGCTTTGCAGTATCTCACTTTCACCCGACCTGATATTACTTATGCCGTTCAGCAGCTCTGCCTTCACCTGCATGCGCCTCGCGACTCTCACCTCATGGCCATGAAGCGCGTTCTCTGTTATCTCAGCGGCACCGCCACTCATGGCATCTACTTGACCCGCTCCATGACAAACTATCTTCAGGCTTACTCTGATGCTGATTGGGTTGTATGTCCTGACACCAGACGTTCTACTTCCGGGTACTGTATTTTTTTAGGCGACAACCTAATCTCATGGTCATCCAAATGCGAGGCCACCACGTCACGATCCAATGCAGATGCCGAATATCAGGCTGTGGTTAATGCAGTTGCTAAGACATCCTGGATTCGGAATCTCCTCCTAGAGCTCCAACAACCTCTCCGGAGTGCCACGCTTGTCTTTTGTGATAATGTCAATGTCGTCTACCTCTCATCAAATCCGGTTCAACACCAGCGCACCAAGCACATTGAGGTCGACATCCACTTTGTGCGTGATAAAGTTGCACTCGGCCACATAAGAGTTCTTCACGTGCCTTCCTCCTCCCAGTATGCCGACATCTTCACCAAGGGACTACCTTCCCTGCTTTTCCTCGAGTTCAAGACTAGTCTAGGTATCCGACCACCTCCACACCCAATGTAGCCGGGAGCATATATTCTATATTTGATGTAAATATATTGTTTCCTATTATTATCTCTTACCTTGTATAGGATTAGGAATCTCATGTATATTTAAACACATGCACTCCCACACATTGATTCAAGGAAAATAATCTTTCTACAGGTTCAACTCTAATTCGATCATTATGCCTCATAAAAACCTTCCTGGTAGTCAAGAGCGTAAACAAAGAAAATGAGATGAAGAAATGAGAGTCTCAAATGGGTGTTATGGATAAGTTCTTGTATAAATCCGTTGTTGAAGAGAATGATGAAGAGGTAGAAGTAGAATTTCAAGACCTTGAACCACAAGAGCATGTTGAAGGGCAAAAGCATGTGGAAGTTGAGATTGTAGATCAAGAACATTTTGGTGAGGCTAAAGAATATATTGAGCGTAAAACTATTGATATATTTGATCCAAGGAGGTAGGAAGGACTTAATTCTACGGACATTAAGATTTTGGTTGAGAAAGGTACTAAAAGAGATACTAGCATTATGTATGGGCCATATATAAAAGATGGAATAAGTACTAGACAGTTTTATGCTGCTTTATATACAAAAACGTTATCAAATTTGGAAAGGGTTGATAGAAAATGGCTAGTATATTCGAAAAAGTTGGACAAGATATTTTATTTCTGTTGTAAAGTATTCAGAACAGAGGCTCTAAAAGATAAATTGGACGGTGAAGGCTATTCAAATTGGCATCATGCTTCGAATATAATTAAAGAACATGAACTTTCCTTGGATCATCTCACAAATATGAGAAAGTGGTAGTATATGCACAAAAGATTACAAGTGAACGAGACAATCGACAAAGTTCAATACGAGCAACTTAAAAAAGAAACTGCATATTAGAAACAAATCCTTTTAAGAATTTTGGCATTGGTGAAGTTTTTTGCTAAACATTATTTAGCATTTCGTGACTCAAAAGAAAAGTTGTATAAAAAATGTAAGGAGAAATTGTTTTTAATTTTTATATCTCACTTCCAACAAATACATTATTTATTAATTATTTTTTTACAGACAATGGAAATTTCTTAGGCCTCATTGAAATGTTACAAGAGTTTAACCCAATTTGTCAAGAGCGTGTGCATCAGATCACAACAAATGAGCTTCATGTGCATTATCTCGGACACAACATCCAAAATGAGTTAATACTTTTGCTTGCTGAAGAAATCAAGAAGGAAATCATAAAAAGATAAAGAAAGCAAAGTATTACTCAATCATACTTGACTGTACCCCCGATTCAAGTCACCAATCAAGAACAAATGAGTATCATAGTGAGATATTTAAACTTCTCTACTACTTCTATTACTATCGAGGAGTCCATTTTAGGATTTTTGAATGTTAATGACAACACCAGAAAAGGACATTATGATATTACAACTAAGGAGTTAAAGTCCCTTGGTTTAGACATTGATGATATTCGAGGTCAAGGTTATGATAATGGGACAAACATGAAAGGAAAACATCAAGGTGTGCAAAAGATATTTTTAAAGCTAAATCCTAGAGCATTTTACACCCCTTGTGGTTGTCATTCTCTTAATCATACTTTCTGTGATTTGGATAATAGTTGTGTTAAAGGAAAGACCTTTTTTGGAATCATCCAACGATTTTATACTCTGTTTGCAAATTCAATTAATCGGTGGCAAATCTTGAATGAAAATGTTAAAAGCTCGAGTCTTAATCCATTGTCTCAAACTCCTTGGGAAAGTCGTCCGGAGAGTGTTAAAGCAATTAGAATGCAATTGCCTGATATACGAGATGCTTTATTAGAAGTTGCAGAAAAAATAACGATGATGAAATTGTTAGTCAAGCACAGTCACTAGTAGAAAAAGAACTTCGTGAGTTTGAGTTTTTGGTATCAATTGTCATTTGGTATCAATTGTTAAATCAAGTGAATTTAGTAAGAAAGAAGTTACAATCAAAGGACATGAAACTTGATATTGCTATTAAAGAAATACATAAATTGATTGAGTATTTCAAAGATTATCGAGAAAATGATTATGCAAAGGCGATTGATGAAGCTAAGGAGATTGCTACTAAAATGGATGTTGATCCAATATTTCCACAAAATGTTTGACTTGAAGAAAAAAAGAGTGGATGAGAGTTCAAGTAGCAATGAAGTTTCCTTTGATTCTGAAGAGAATTTTAGAATCAATTATTTTCTTTTCACTGTTGACAAAGGTGTTGCTTCTCTAGAGACAAGATTGGAACAATTCAAAGAGTTTGAGAAGTTATTTGGTTTTCTATTTTCGCATAAGTTGTGGGGTATTGAAGACAAAGATCTTAAGTTGTCTTGTTATACTCTTGCAAATGCACTCAAGTGTGGTGAATGATCGGATATTGATGCTGAAGAACTTTATGCAGAGTTGAAGTTATTTGGCACATTAGAAACAAGTGAATTTAGCAATCCTATTGATGTTTTGAAGCATTTGAAAGATGATCATTTTCCAAATGCAAGCATTGCATATAAAATATTGTTGACTATTCTAATAACGGTGACATCTACAGAAAGGAGTTTTTCCAAATTGAAATTGTTGAAATCTTACTTAAGATCCATAATGTTCCAAGAAGGTCTTAGCGGATTGGCGATAATAGCAATTGAGAATGAAATCCTTGAGACTATAGATTGTGAAGAGTTGATCAACCAATTTGCTCGCAAGAGTGTTAGGATAACTTCAAGAATCCTCGGTTAGCCATTAAGGTACGCAATTATAAATTTATTACACCATGAATTTGATATTTTATTATTCTTATTTCTATAATGTGAATTATTGTTAAATAATTAATTGATAGATTTTATAATATTATGACACAATGGCCCATTTTCTACATGTCGTACGTTAATAAAAACTAATAAAAATAACTAATTTAATCGGTGATTCTAATCAAACATCATAAACAAGATACAACCAACCACTAATTTCCAAACAAGACTAGAATAACATAAGGTGTTTGCACATGTCGTAGCCCCCCTATTAGTCTATTACCACCGTTAGTGATAACCCTTCGGGCCAAATGTCAACATTTCACCATGCAAGTTGTTGATAATATGGGATAACCATTTATCATCACCCCCCACCCAAGAAGGAAAAAGAAACATTTCATCAAAAACTCCTATCATCTATCAGATCTGATTCCACCGAATCCCCTCCCTCCAGAACAGCTTCTCCTACACAAAAATGGCTTTCTATGGCCATTCCGGCGAGTCCCAATGGCCCTATTGTTTTTATCCCAATTCTTACCCAACCCAATCTCTGATTTCATACCCATCCCCAAATCTCATCCAAAATCAACCCAATCACTGCACCAGCTATTACCTTGATTACCAGCCTCCGATTTCCCAAACAAATTACTACATAGCTTCTTCTTCTTCTCACTCGACCTCAGCGCCGGACGACGAGGTCTTCGAGGAGTACGATCCGGACCCGTACAGCGGCGGGTACGATATTGTTCAAACGTACGGCAAGCCCCTTCCGCCGTCAAACCAAACCTGTTACCCTCGTTCCGCCCCTGATTCGAAGGGAATGTCCTACGAAACAGGGGCGGCGGCGCCGGGCACTAATAAAGGCGGGAATGAGAGTGCTTGGGAATCCCCCCAAGTGGGGAACGATGATGCCATTGCTAGCAGCAGGTACTATGGGTCTGGTTTGGAGGGTGTTGATTTGTGCGGAGGCGTGTTTGGTTACTGGCCTTGTTGGGAGAAACACCAGAAGAAGAAGAAAGGGAATGATTTGGATCAAGAAAAGTGTAACAGAAGCAGCAATGGTGGTGGTGATGAAGATAGCCCATGGAGTGATTGTACATCGGCAGCTGATTATATATTTGGAAGTCCATTTGGATATGGGGATCTCAGTTATTCTAGTTATCAGCAACAGTATTAGCTAGCAGATCAGAGATTGGTGATATATATATATATATATATATATATATATATATATATATATATATATATATATATATATATATATATATATATATATATATATATAGTGCTTTGCCATTTTAGCAATAAGTGATTTATGTGATGCAATGTAAATGTAATTCCAACTTACTCTATGAAACACCCTTGTGAAACATGTTACTATTTGAATCTTGTTGAAATCTATAGTGTATAATGTATAATGTAATGTTACCCCCTAACCCCTCCCCCTCTACTAAATCCTCTATCCCATGAACCCAACCCCAGAACCGTGCTAAATCGGCCATCTAAGGAAGGCAGAAAGGTGCTTGGGTGGGGTGCGGGTGAAAGGGTTAGAGAGGATTAGAGGGTAAGAATCATCAATTTTACCAACTGTGTAGAGATCTCTGTCATTTTTGTATAGTCTTCATTCTTAAGATACTCCCTCCGTCCCACTTTAGATTACAATATTTCTTTTTTGTTGAAATTAAAGAAGAGTTAAATCAAATTTTTTTCCCCAAATTACCCCTCAAATCCCCCAAGTATCCTTCCCACTCACATGGATGAATAGTGTGTGAATAGTGTAGGAGTGGGAGGGTAAAAGAGTCAATTCCTTGTAAAGTTATTGACTTTGTAATTCTTTTTGGGACAAAAATGTGAGGGAATATTGTAATTTATTTCGGGACGGAGGGAGTATTACCTTTGTCATATTCTATATTTGAGAATTATTTCAAAATCACTCTTTTGTAGTATTAGACTGGTTTAGGGGTGGGTTCGGTTTTGGCGGTTCGGTTTTCACCTAAAACCAAAGACAAAACGGAAGATAAGTTGGTGGTTCGGTTCGGTTTTGCATAAAAAAATATATACACCGTTGGTTGTTCGGTTCGATTTTATGCGATTTTTATTTCAATTTTTTCAATTTATAAAAATAAAAATTTATAAGCATTAACAAATTGTAAAAATACTAACCCGATGAAGGAATAACAATATGTAGGTTTGAGTTTGGTTTTTTGTTTGATTTTTATACAAAACCAAAAACCGAACGGAAGGTTAGTGTTCAATGACCAAAAAAGGCACAACTATGAAAACGCCATGACCTTTGGTTAGAATTAACTTAGGTATGGTATACTAGCTACTGTTTGCAAAGATGACAATACAGTTTAGAGCAAGATATCATGTTCTACTAAATAACTACTCCCTTCGTTCCTAAATAAATTTCTCCTTTCGTTGTTTTTTTGTTCCCAAATAAACTTCTCTTTTTCTTTAAAAAAACCCCTTTTACCCCTTATTTTTCATACCCTACCTATCACATCATACCTTTTTATTAATAATCTACATATCACATCTTACTTTTACACATCACATCAAGGGTATTTTTGGAAAGTCAACACAAAAATATCCCTTCCTTAAATCTTCAAAAAGTTAAAAAGAGAAGTTTATTTAGGGACAGAAGGATTAATAAAGAAGGTACGGTATCGCTTACTAAAGGACGGATTCAAAAATTGAGACACATACTTATTTTGCAATCTGGGGATGTTGTTGACCCCAAATCAGATTTCATTCATATGGGCCGGGATTAAGTTGCCGTTGTTGGAAATAATGATATGATCAATGGGGTACGTCTACTAACATTTTTATCATTAATTAATGGATATGTGTTATTCTCCTATGTGAGACAAATAAATTGATATATTATACACTAAAAAAAGTTGGAAGATAAATAAGAAATTCATTCTCAAAGTTGATAAAAAAGTTTGGTTGGGTGCGTGCATGTGCCATTTTTGAACCAAAGTTTTATTATTTTTTGACTAATTAATTCTCAAAACAGTTCCTATTTTGACTTTTATTAGGAGAATTAAAAAGTGTATATTTATAGTTGATTTTCTAATTTTGTCCTTGATGTGATGAGTAAAAATAAGATGTGATGGATAAATTATTAGTAAAAAAGTATGACGTAACAGGTGGGGTAAGAAAATGTAGGAAAAAGTGTTTTTAATAGAAAGTAGAAGTGTTTTAGGGAAAAAAGAGGAAGTATTTTTAGAAACATAGAAAGTACTTAAAATTTGAATATATAAGTCTTGCTCCGACATTAGTGTTCAAAATATATGTATGAATCAATATCAAAATATGATCTTCAATATTTTGTACAAAAATAAAACTTATAATGTCAAAACATAATGCAGAGTAACAAAAATAATGTGAAATACCAATACCAAGTTGTGGATATATTTCATAACACCAACACTCTTGTTAAGGGAAAAATGTAGGATACCTTATTTCTGTATAAATTTCAGGTTTAAATTTTATTTAAATATATTTTTAGTTTTCCCATATATTTTCATAGTCAATTTACAAAAAATTTATCAAAAAGTTGCGTGATAAACACCACCCTCTCCATTCTTTTTAAAGAGTGTTCAGTCTTCACCATGATTTTCTTGATATATTAAAAAGTAAATAAATATAGATATAAAATATATTCACATTTATTTATTTTTTAATGAATCAAGAAATTCGATGTTTCACTAAAAAGGAATTAGATGAAGTATTTTCCTAAGATAGCCTATATTATGAGGATTATATTGATGTGGAATGACTCTTATAGGTTAGTTAGTGTCAGTGCTGAGTAGGATGCAGATTTAAAATTCCATCTAATGAACAAAATATGGAGTAAATGTTAATGTGAATTAATACTCCTATTTTATTTTTAGAAATACATTAAATTTTTAAAACTCTATTAAAATTAATATCTCATGCAAATGATCCCGTCGTATCCTTGTCTTTGACCCACACAAAAATCTTTGCAACATAAGAAATAACAAAAAAAACTATGGGCACTATGTCAAAACAAACAACCCAACTTTTTTCACCCCTATAAAGTTATAAACCCCATTTAAATCCCCACCCCTCTGACAACAACCTTTGAATATCCAATTCACACATCATTTCCTTCAACCTTATTACTATATCATGATGTTTCACACACTCTTTCTTCCTCTTTTCCTCCTTTTACCAATGACAGTGAATTCTGACATTCATGACCTCTTGAGGTCTCGTGGCCTCCCGGCGGGACTCTTCCCGAGGAACGCCGTGAAGTCGTACACGCTAGACAGCGATGAACGGCTTCAGGTGTTCCTCGAGAGGCCGTGTTTGGCCAAGTACGAGACGAGGGTTATGTTCGACAGTGTAGTTAAGGCTAACCTTAGCTATGGGGGACTCATTGGGCTAGAGGGTCTCTCCCAGGAGGAACTCTTCCTTTGGTTGCCTGTTAAAGACATCATAGTATATGACCCTTCTTCTGGTCTCATCTTGTTCGATATCGGCGTTGCTTACAAGCAGATGTCTCTTTCTCTCTTTGAAGAGCCTCCCATTTGTATGCCTCAAGGTGATGAATTGGAAGCTTATTAGTATTAATTACATTATATTAGATTGTGTTATACTCCAAAAGAAACATTTCACTTTTAATTTGATCATCACATGATAACTAGTAGGTTATTTTGACATTTTTTTTTTGTACTTTTGTCGCACGACTATAGATTTCTTGCTAATTTGATCATTTTTTGTTAATTACCGGGCAAAATGAACCAAAAAAAATTAACCTTAATTTAAAGTCTAGTACTACGAATAAATTTTAATTTGGTCATCTAATACAATATATAAATTTGGTAAGGTTTCTTATTATGTTTGGTTGAATTAATACTATATTGCAGGTTTGGTGATAGAGGAGGATGGGGGAAAGGAGTCAAGATTTGAGATGGAAGGACACAGACCATTTCTACTTTCTGCAGCCTGATGATTTGATATATGACATTATATTAGTTTTAATTTGATGCAGTTTTAATTTTCATGGTGTTTAATGTGTGTTTCAAGTTAGGGAAAAGGAAGAAAAAGTGGAACAAGCTCCTGATTTTATGAGGTTAAAGGTGTAAAAAAAAGTTAAAGTTGACTACTGTTTAAGTTGTGAAAGAACTGATGAATAACTGATAACTATATATTCTATTTACAATCTCATAAAAAAATTTACTCTTTCTTTCGTTAATTTAAAAAATATTTTCATTTGATTTTTAAGGAAAGTAGGATTCTATGTGGTTAAGATAGAAAGCGTACTTTCACTTCTTAAAAAAATTTATAAACACTTCTTTTTTTAATTTCGATAAACTTTAAAATCAAAATACTTTCATAAGATGAATATACATTGAAGTTGAAGTAATGTTATCAATTTAAAAATGCATGCATCTCTTTATATTGCAATATTAATCATAATGGCTTTATAAAAGATAAATGTACATACATACATGACCATATGCATGATAGGGATGATACTCACAATCAAGATGAAGGAATACCCCCTATTATTAGAAAATTACTAATGGTATATATTTATTGGTTAATACTACTTCTCATTCCTGAATATTTGTGTATTTTTGATTTTTTGCAGTCAACCAATTCCAACATTTGACATATAATAAAATATATAAAGTATATATATGGTATATTAATTGGATAAAATAACATTTTGAAAATATTTTATAAAATAAAAGTAGTAAAATCATTTTGGTAACAATATCTAATTTTACTTTTACTTAATGTATGATCAAAGTTTACCAATTCTAACTAAAAAAAAATCAAAATAGACAAATATTTAGAGACAGTGGATGATAATCATATCAAGACAAACAACTCTAATTAAGTCTAATTAAGTTTTGTTGTGTTTTTCTTTTCTTTTTAGCTTGACACACCATTTATAGTAAGATTTGTCACCACATGTAAATTGAAACGTATGGACCTACAAAATGTCATTCACAAGTTTTATACAAGCGAAACTTAGTCACGTTTTTTTGCTCTATATATGAATCTTGAGCCTAATTTTATGATCGCTTTTTGTGCCTTCACGTTTTATACGTTCACTATAATTCAACATAAAAGGAGCTATCTCGGAACATGAAATGATTAACCCAAGCGCTTTTATTAATATATTTTTTCCACCGTCCACACAAAATAAAATAAAGCCTAAAATATGTCTTTGCACAAGGCCTTTCTGATTTTTCTTCATTTTAGAACTAGTCTATGATTAAAAATTTTGTTGAAGTGGGAGTTGTTAAATAAACAAAAAATTACTCTGGTGTATTTTCAATTTTTTTTGGTAATAACTTACATGTCCAATATTATTTAAAATTTACTCTGGGTTTCTCGATTTTTTGGTAAGAAATCACAAGTCTCACATTATCTGAAATATAATATGGGAGTCCTTAAAATTAGTGGACTACGAGTTTACATTTTATCTGCCGTTACGATTAAAAATTCTGTTACTTTGACAAATACTAAATTTTACCTCAATGGTCATTATTTTATTAAATTTAAATAAAATGCTTCAACTTGTCAAAGTAATGGAATTTTTTATCATCATAACGAAGTGTACCCTCAGAGTATAATATCACAAATTTCAAGGACCTCAGAGCACATTTCGAATAATAGGAGCCCTGAGAGTTAGAAACTTAGATTTCTTAACAGAAAATCGATGGCACCCTAGAGGATATTTCAGATAATGTAGAACATAGGAGTTATTACCAGAAAATCAAGAGTACCACGAAATAATTTCTGTCGAAAAAAAATCCACAATCAATTTTTTAAAAGAGAGTTGAGGACAAAATGAATTTATAAGCTGATTTTGTTCATATTTTTTAAAAAATGATTTTGTTTATAATTGGTTATTAATTGATTGATTAAAATTAGGTGATTATTAATGAGTCATTTAATAGAACTTTTTTCTATTTACACTCCTATGATCATGCCAATCACTCGATACTCATCATTCATCAACACAGAATTGAGTTTAAATACTCCGTATAAGATAAGATCGAGGTTTATTTATCATATAAATGTTTATCCAGCTCGATTCAAAATAATACAAATTTAAAGTTCTTTATATCATACTACGTATTTGGAATTGTGTTTTTTCTTTCTTTCTAAATTTTAACTTCTGTATTCTAGATTTGGCACAAATTATGTTGGTATTGTATTTGTGGTAGAAATTGAACTGCATATAGTCAAACAAGCTTTAAATATGCAAATGTCTGGTCTGTGGCCTACTTAGCTTCCACCATCTCAGCACTCATCAAATGCCAAACCATTGGGCGTTGGATGCCGCCTTCTAGTCAACATTACACAGAGCTGTTGTTCAACTCCTTCTGTACTCTCGCTCCTTGCTTTTGTTCAATTATAAATAAAGAAAAGAAGTTGTTTGTTGTAGACTTCAGAGAAAAGAAGCACTATGAGGATTCGTTTCAAATGAGTTTCACTATTCGTTGACAGAGATTCGTTGAACATAGTTCAACGAATAGTGAAACTCATTTCGTTGAACATAGTTCAACACTATGTTACACTCATTTAGTTCAACGAACAACGAATAGTTCAACGAATCTCTGTTCTTCAGAGTCACTTCGTACCTTTTTCGTTCAACTCATTTGATGGAGATTTGTAAAAAATATGAACAAAATCATTTTTTAAAAAATATGAACAATATCAGTTCATATGACCAATGCAAAATGAAGAAGAAAAAACTGAACCCAAACATGCCCTTAATTCCATTCCTTAAATGATAAGAAAAGATAATATGTATAGCCAACATGACTCCATGTAATGTGCAAAAGTATGGGATTTCTACTCTTTAATTTACAAGATTCTTGTGTCTATGAGAAAGAAAAAGCCCAACATTTCTTTCCTCCCCAAATAATACAACAAAAAATGAAACTGTGGATGAATCTTACACTACAGTCTAGAGCCAAACACTCCCCATTTGGCTGTTTTTCCGGTTAAACCAACCGAAATTCATATGAAAAGTCAAGTTCCAAACACGCCCTTAGTTGCAGCATCAGCGTTACGAATTTGAGGAATTTAACTTCCTTTCAAAGAGTTTGGCCCGGCGAAGGGCATCCAATGCTTCTGCATGCTTTCCGGAACGTTTCAAGTTTAATGCCTTCATCTTTTCTTCCTTAATCTTCTTCTCCAACTCTGTCTTCTCTTCAGCAGCGCTGTCAACCATATCGGCGACTGGCTTTTTCAACTCTGGTCCTCGAATGCCATGGGGCCCACCATCATCCTCAATCATTTCGGGACCTTGGGATCCAACAGAAGCATCTGAGATTCCAATGGCTGCCAAGGCGGACAAAAGCTGAGGATCAAGAAAGTCCTCAACGTGGATCCCACCTTCTGTGGGTCCGGATCCGTGACCCGATGATGACCCGGTTCCAGATTCCTCCAGTTGAGCCTCGATTGCCTTTGCTAATTTGAACTCAGCATCAGCCTCTTCTGCCCGGCCTTCCCTTCGCAGCTTGAATGCTGTCCTTTTGTGGTTGAGAGACTCTTGCTGCAGTTTAAAACGGTCACGTCCGGATAAAGGTTTTGTGTCACCAGGGGTAGGTTCGGAAGATGGGGAGGCATCGGGACCAGAAAAATCGACAGTTTCTTCCTCCAAATGTTTCTCCAGTGCTTTTGCCTGCCGAAGTTCGTCCTTAGCTTCTGTCAACCTCCCTTCCCTCTTAAAGGCAACTGCTTTCTTCTTATGTGCAAGAATCTCTTGATGCAGAGAGTTGGATGGAATCTTATCGGCATTGACCATCTCGCTTGGTTTATTTTCTGGAACATTCTTATTCGAGATCCCCAATCCCATGTCATCCGCGGTGTCACTCTTTGGATCTAATTGAGTATTGGAACTCAAATTCATGAGGGGAGACTCAACAATATTTGGCTCTATTTGGGCATTAGATTCCGATGCTACTCTTTTGAGAGATGAAGATTCGGTCTCAACTAATTCGGCCTCTAATTCTTTAGCAGTTTCCAGTAATTCATCTGCTTGCTCTGATTCTCCTTGACGTCTCAAAGCAAGAGCCTTTCTTTTCAAGCTCAGAAGTTCTTTCTGGATCTCAACTTTACTTCTTTTAGATTTGCCGGTGGGTTTTTGAACCTGAGACATAGATGTGGATTTTTGGGTGTCTTCTTCATCCTCCTGCCAACCCAAGTTCTTTAGAACCGAAAGATAATTTGGATCCTGCATGTCTAGATCTGTTACGTCGTCCCCACCACTATCATTGTCTACAATGAAGTCATCGTTCCCAATCTGAGTTTTATTATCAAATTCTTCTAGCTGGTTCTCTAGAACCTTACACTTTCTAAGTTCTTCTTCTGCTTCATCCAACCTACCTTCCCTTCTCAGGGCAAGAGCATTCTTCTTTAAGCCAAGAAGCTCTCTCTGGATCATCAATTTGTTTCTCGGTACTGTTTTAGATTCATTGCCTTTTGTTTTAAGGCCACTCTGAACCATTAGAGAGCCGTCAAGCTCTTTTTCAATGATCTTTGCCTTCTTTAACATCTCCATTGCCTCTGCAGTATTACCTGCCCTTTTCTGCATGAGAGCTTCCCTTTTCAAAGATTGAACTTCGCTGTGTTTTGCTTCTCTATTATCAGCATGATCTGGATTGTCCTCCTCACTCCAGCCCAGTGATTTTAAGGTGGCTTCCATTTCTGGGTCTTCCATGTCATCCTCAGTCACTTTGAGATCCCCACCAAGATCATCATGAACAGAAAGAATGTCGTCAAAGTCAAAGCTGTTAGAGCCTACAAAGTTTGCTCCTCCCATTGAAAGCTCTTGTGTATCAGCAGAGCCTAAACTACGAATCAGTGAAGAGATTTCATCATCGTCGGAATCCTCACAATCCATCAGGAATTCCTGTTCCTCAATTTGCTTTTCGAGTACTTTAGCTTTCTTTAGTTCCTCTTTGGCCTCAACAAGTTTCCCTTCACGTTTGAATTCTAGAGCCTTTTTCTTGTGTGCAATAACTTGGGACTTATCAGATGCTTGGATTCTCTTCCCTGTATTTGGTTTTTGAGATACTTCTCGAAGAAGAACAGACAATTCACCCTCCAGACTCATTGTTGTTGGTTTCTTATCAGTTTCATAGATATCCATATCAGACCAACCCATTTCTTTTAGCTCCGAAACAATATCATCCTGTTTTTTACTAACGGGTCCATTGGATTCATCTGACATGTTGCTGGAAGACGAAGAAGACCTTTTGCGATTTTTCCTAATTTGCACCTCCAAAGCTGCAGCTTGTCTCTCCAGCTCTTTCCCCCTTTTAAAGGCTCTCAAGGCTTCTTCCGATTTTCCTTCTGCTTTTAAAGTTCTGTGCTTTTTCTTCTCATCCATAGCTTGTTGGCGCAATTCTTCAGGAGTATTGATGATTGCCGTCTCATTCATCAGCACATCCTTAGTGGAGAAATCTTGACTGAGAGAAGATGATGATGAAGCAATACAGGTCGGTTGCTGATCATGAGGAAGTCTGTCACCAGATAAGATTGATTGTAAAACTTCATCGTCCTTATTAGGTGTATGTCTTGAACTGCCTGCAAATATGATGTTAAAACTTCATCCTCATTATTGTTTTCGGATATATCACCTTCTAGTAATTCAAACACGGCCTAAAGGAGATCAAATGGAAACAAAAAGAACCTTAAGCCCTTGAAATGAAGGGGATGTGCCCCACATTAAAACATACCTTTTCCAGCTCTTTTGTGTCCATGTCTCATTTCAAACCGTGCAGCTTCCTCTAACTTTTTGCAGGGATCACAAATCCTTACTGGGGAATCGCCTTGACCACGCAATGACATCCTTTGATTGGTACAGCTATTGCAAAACAGGCCACCACACCTTCGACAATGATGCTGAAGAGCACAAAAACAACCATTTAAAAAAAGAATGTCCATAATCTGTGTTTTTTTTCAGATCACAATGCGAGAAATAGGAGGAAGAGAGGAGGCAGTATTCACTAACAAGATGGAAAACGCAGCTATAAAGGCCCAAAGTAGATTGGAATCAAGGCTTAGTTGACTTGAGCACGCTAAGGCTATGTTTGGAATGGAGAAAATGGTAGGGAAAGGGGAAAATGCTTAAGAAAATAGTTTTTTTTAGTTTGCTTGTACCTAAAAACATACAAAGGAAAATCATTTTGATTTTGTAAACAACTCATATATTTATACTTTTTAGTCTATAAATTGATCTAGCGAGTTCGAAACATTTTTTTATGTTCCCCCAAATTTTCTTTCCTCCCAAACTTTCCATTCTTTCTCTTTATTTTCTTTGCCTAACATTTTCCAGGTTCCAAACAGCCCACAATGATATTGATTTTGGAAAATCTTTATGGGTTACAAAAGGGAGCTAAACAAAGTTGAAATTTAATTAGGCTATAGCTGAATCTTACTAGAAGAAATCAAGTTCTAATTTCCCTCTCACCAAACCATCTCATTGTTGGTGATTTTAGTGTCATCGGCTATTTTATGTAATTAGATTTACTTATATCAAGTGAGAATTTTAATAGGCGTGGTAAACAAATTGGGTGGTGTGGAGTGCACCCTTGTTCAACAATATTACAAATTCCGTAACATTCAAATGTTAGTATTAACTTCCTACACCCTTTGTGAATGGACACATACATTGGGATGTTTAAGAGTAAACATTCAAACGTTTCGCGATAAGACGCAATAGTTCGTGAAGAAAAGCACTTTAACGCAATGCTTAACAATAACTGCTGCATACACTCGTCAAAAGACGTGCCTGTTCAATTTGTGCTTTATGGAGCCCGAGGGTATGTTTGAGATATGACAGATTTTCCATACTCGTTCTAGATTACTTACATACTATCTGGTTAAAGTATTTTGATATACCCCGAAACAACTTTAATCAGAAAGCGTTTATACATGATTTGTGTTCTTCATATACCGATTCTCCTAATGCTCCTACCCCTCCCGGATTTCCAACACCCGATAATTTTTTCATATTTTGTTACTTACATTATAGAGAGGTCAAGATGTACGCAGTTTTCACCTAGAGAGGTTATTTCCGAGAGGACCCCTGCAAAAAGGGTCTAGAACAGTTGATTAATTGTGTACCACAAGCTGAGGTGACTTGCTTATTGGGTAGCCAATTCCCAAATCAACAAAACTCAAGTTTTATCAGGAAGATCAAAACTCCAACCTAGAAAGGGAACTAGTGGGGTGCAGCCTATGAAACCTAACCAATCATTTATTGTCATCAAAACAGATTTAATGATAGGAACCAACAAGCATTACAACTCACCACCGAATTCAATCAAAGAAGATCACAAAGATGAAAGACACCAACAATCGAACTTTAGAAAATCAGGGACTTTAAGGCCTTGAACCAAAATTTGAACTATTAAGTTCCAGAAAATGAGCTTGAGCACTAAACCTTCATAAAAAACAAAACTAACCTTGCGATTGATGAAGGTGAATTGGGAGGAACAACCTTGGCAATGGGAGGCGTCGACGACCCAATTGTTGCCTCTGAGCGACGGCTTCGGAGGCAAACCGATCTTCTCCAACATCTTTATTGCTTGATTTTCTTCGCGGAAAGAGAGAAGAACGATGAACAGATGGATTTCGGTCCGGAGATGGCGAGGTTCACCCGGAACGGATCGGCTGACTCTACTTTTTACGTTGAATAAACAAGCTTCTGCAAAATAAACTGAGTTACAATACATATTAACCACACATTTTGTGGAAGCTTACAGAGTGCAGTGGTGGGGTAAGATGGAGGGTTTAGGGAGTGAGTTAGGGGTAGGAACCGTAAATTTTATGAACGGAACAACGGAGCTGTCCCAAAAACGCAATGGCACCACTAGTGGCACCGTTTTCCAGTGTCAATAGAACCCCACCGTTTTAATAATATTCATTTACTAATTTAAAAATTTATACTCTGTCTGTCCAACAATAAACTTTTCAGTTACTATTACGGGTTCTTGATAACTTATGTTTGTTTGCATAAAATCATTGATAAAATAAAATATTCTTATCACATCTTGTTTTGTAGAACTTTTGATACAGTTTTTGAACAATATAATTTTTACTATTTTATGATATACCAATTTGTAAATAAAGTAATTTTTCTAAAAAAATGAGATTTTGCACATTGTTCAAAATGTGAAATTTATTGGTGGACGGGAGGAGTATGGAACATATCATTGATAATAAGTAAAAGACTACAATTAAGAGTAAATTCCAGAAAAAGTTCTCAATTATAGTTCGTTTTACATATTTAGTCCCTACATATCAAATATTACTAATTTAGTCCCTAATTATTATATCATTTTTTACGAATAGTCCTTCGTTAACGTTTTTGTTGGGGACTAAATTAGTAATATTTGATATGTAAGAACTAAATATGTAAAGATGTTGCTATATCCATTCTCATAATGCTTAAATCTACTTTATTTACGTAAAATAGACAAATTTGTCAATAAAAGTTGGCTAAGATCTTATATCCCTTCTGTTGGGACTGCGCGTGCCCTCACCCCAACCTCGCTTTAGTATGATATTGTCCGCTCTAGGCCAAGCCCTCACGGATTTGTTTTGGGCACCTCCCAAAAGGCCTCATACTAATGGGGTTGGGTGAACCTATATATTTTGGTTCATTTACTCCTACTCATCCGGTGTGGGACTTGGAGGAATCCCAACACCTTCTTGGGTTTCTAAGATCTTATAAATGGAGTAGATATAGTCATAATGATGATTGTTATAGCAACACCCTTAAAAAATAATACATAATTAAAATGATATATAATTAATTTAAGAAGGATACATAAAGAATGCTCCATGAATTCAATGTTGTGATTCCAGAAGAACAAGGATGAAGATTTTTGACAAGATAGAATGCCTTGGTTCCTCTCGTTTTAAAAGCGAGATATTTTTCTAAATCCTTGTTTCTTGATAAAAACAATCCGAGGTATTGTTGGGAGAGCATTGTATTCTCGAAACTCAAGGGTGATTGAGAGTGGTATTAGGCGACCTCGGGTGATGTGGATTGGAATCGATTAGAGCGAGGCCTTAGGAAATGCTTGGTTCAAAAAATAAAATGATCACAAATCTTACAAACTTATTATTTGTGAACTTCAATAAAAAAAAATATAGTTTGAAATATTTTTAAAATGAGACCTTAAACCATAAATGGTAAGTTTGTTAATTGGCAAAATTCACAAGAACACTCCCATAAATTAGAGATTTTACATAAATACTCCCAAATTTTTTTATTTACACCATTACTCCCACATTTCTCTTTTATTTACGTCGTTACTCCGTGATTGCTTCATCATCAGTGTTTCTCGGGTGCCTCTTTTTATATGGGGTTTTTCATCTTTTTTTATTGAATTCAAATTAAATTAATATGAACAGACTTGATATTAATCATTAAAAAGATTTAAGAAGTTTGAAATCTCATTTTTTTTAAAAGTGATGGAAAATAAGGGCAATAATTAGGCTTACTAAGACGTGAGAAAGACAGTGGAGAGAATAAGTTGAAGTGAATTTAGTATATTAGAGTGGAAAAAATACATGTCTGCATTTTAACTGTTCACTTTACGCAAAAATGACACATCCAAGTAACACTAATGATCACTACCAAATTTGGGAGTAACAACGTAAATAAAAGAGAAATGTGGGAGTAATGATATGAATAAACAAATTTGGGAGTATTTATGTAAAATCTGTAATTTCTGGAAGTATTCTTGTCAATTTTGCCTTGTTAATTTTATGATTGTTTTGTTTGTAAACCAAGTATTGCTCCAGGCCTTAAGTTGGAGAATCATTGTCTGCATTACTACCCTCTCTTGATATTAGTGTTTTATCTTCTTTTAAAACTTGGAGCTTCCATTAATGACTTTTCAGTCAGATTCATGTAACGTATACAATACAAATTCCCCGTTGAAATGATCCCACTACAAAAGATCCGTGATTGTCCCCGATTGGGTTTGCACGTAAAAAATAACATGTCCGACAAAAGATATGATGCATCCGTGAAAATAATTTACACCATCACTATCGAATACAAATTCTCATCGTTTTATAAAGTTTAGGGGGGAGGTTTTTAAAATCAAAATTTAATTTTTGGGACTTGATCAAATGAAAATGAATCTTTGGGTTTCTCCCAGTGTGAGAATATTGGTCAAAAGAAAATTAAAAAACTTTGGTTTTCTTGATCAAATGAAAATCAAAAATCAACATTTGAAGATCAAATGTTTCGTTTTAAGAAACTTCCTTGCAGCAACAATCTAAAAAATGTTCAAACAAGTTGTTCATCTAGTTTTAAGGAATAACAATGGATTCTTAATATTTCTTTTAATAAAGACACTGAAAAATGAGTAGAGTCATAGATCAAATATGCATGCTATGCTACCCAAGCCTTGAAAGAACATCATTCAAAGCAGACACAGTTTCCTCGTAGTATTTCTCTGCTTTACTGCTGTCCTTACTCTTCGCCGCATAGTCAAGCTGATCATTATTTCAAGAATCACCAATAAAATGGTTACCATTATACACACACACACACACACACACACACAAATTTTGCCTAGTTATATATACACACTTACATTGCTGATGGTTTGGTAGAGTTTGCCAGTCAAGTCCTTGAGCAACTTCTTGTCTTCTCTGGGCATAGAAGAGATGACAGTGTTGAGATCATAGCGGAGGTACTCTGCCTTGGAGCGAAGGTCGTTTTGGACGTAAGGCCATTGTTGCTTCTTGATCAGACCCTTCACATTGATTATGTCCTTGGCTGACTCTTTTGCCCTTGCCACGGCTTCCGATGGTGACAGTGGTTGGAGGTAGAACCTCTCCTTCAATGGCTTGCTCAGGTCTCTCGCTTCGTCCGAGTTCAGTGTTCCAGCTGCATGTCTCAGTGCCAAAACAACCAAGAACCGACTCGGTAAACCAATGCTCCATATTTAGTAGAGAAATTACGACGAATTGTCTAACATTAATGTTCTAGACACAAGGATTGAGCTAGCATTGTTTGTTGATATGAAAATGACAAACTCATTTGAAAGACTACCTTGACACTTTAAACTCTATCACAAAGATGAGATTTTTTAGAAAGTGAACAACTAAATCTACCATGATCCTTCCAACTGCAGACAAACTTAGGGATTGTTTGGTGAACGCGTGAGATATGAGCTCTGATATCGCTAGGCGTTTGGTGAAATCTAAACATGTTCGAATTGGATACTGTCCGATGTCACAAACCTCCCGATTTCTTTGATATCTTCGGGTTTTGGGGGGTTACAATATCAGATTTCAAATCTCTCTAAACAATTTTATTCCAAATTTTAGAATTTATATTATTTTGTCGGGATTTTAGAACTCATATCATCTTAACCCTTTTTCTCTAACGAAGCAAATTAAAGTTCACAAACACCATTTCCAATTTTTCGTCAAAGCATACAAGAGGAATAGCCCAGTCTTTAACTTTTAACATAAGAATATTAAAATCTCCAAGGTTAATTATAAAGAGGAATTTACTTAAATAGCACTAAAACATAATGACTTTCTCTAAATAGCACTACATGTGTTTTTCTTCCCAATATAACAATTTTAGTCATTATGCAGTAGTCATTGTTCAAGTAATATTCGCCATCACAGGACATTAGGTACATTATTAAGTGCTATTTAGAGAATAAAACCATTTAAGTGCTATTTAGAGAATGATTTAAGCTTTAGTATTATTTAGTGCAAATATTTTTACTTAAATAGCACTAAAACATAATAATTTTCTCTAAATAGCACTACAATTGTTAATTAATGTTATTGAAATATTACAAAAGGAGAGATGAAGACTTACGGAGGCCGCCGGAAGGCGGAGGCGGAGGCCCAACCTTGATTGATTGGACCTCGGCAAGACCAGATTGGACAAACGACGACCCAGAAACCAATCCGGCCGCAGCAACGCCGAGAAGTGCCCGCCGGCTAGTTTCCGCCTCGCCGGAACCTTGCTGTGCTCTGACGACCGATAATCCTCCTGGTCTGACGGAAAATCCCACTCTGATGGCGCTGCCGGAGTTCCAGCGGGCTGGGCCGCCGTTGATTTTGAGGCTCCCGCCGTCCAATGCCGCCAGAGAAGAAGCAATGGCTTGGGCCATAATTGAGGCTGCGGAAATGGTGTCGCTGCGTATTTGATTTTTGGGTGGATGAAATGAATTAGGAAATGAAGAAAAAGACGCCGACGGGGGGCTTATCCACCTCTGGATATGGCATCGACCAATCAACGCCGTTCAATTCTTCCTTTTCATTCGATTATCCTCTCTTTCAAACACTTGTAATGGGACACGTGGACACAATTTTACTCCGTACCATACTTTTTTTACAATTTCTTGTTTCGAAGAACTTTTCATTTAGTAATTTTATATGTGATTTTTATTTTTTTTACAAGTTTGTAAATGAAATTAATTGAAAAAACTTCATATTTTACCTCGGTAATAGTAATGTGACAAATAATTTGAGACGAAGGGAGTATTAAATTCAAAAAATGATACCCAACAAACATGTATAGTCTCAAATTAGTATCCAAAATTAATAAATTTCAAGATGATACTCGTTAATTAAAATAATGCTATGTTCAGTCGCCCGATTAATGGCCGTTAAAACATCGTTAAAAGGACGTTAAACTTTTATACTCCCCGCGTCCCCAATTTTATTACAATTTTTTTTCTCTCCTCTCGATAACTTTTGTTTGTTTACACGATTTCATTAAATATTTCATAAAATAAAATATTCTTGTCACCTTTTATTTTGTAGAACTTTTGACGTAGTTTTTTAATATGTAATTTTTTATTTCTTATGGATATATATTGATTTGTAAATACAATGATTTCAAAAAGTGAGATATTTCTCCTCGTGAACCCCAATTTGATTACAAATTGGGGACTCAGAGAGTACTACTTTTCCAATATGGTACTTCCTAACTATGTGTTTTCTCAAATTAGTCCATTTTCGAAATACAAATACATTATTTATGAAAAAGAGTAATTCCATAAAAGGTCCTCAGTTATAAGTCGTTTTACATATTTAGTCCCTACATATGAAATATTACTAATTTAATCCCCAATTATTATTTCATTTTTTCACGAATGGTCCTTTGTTAACGTTTTGGTTAAAAACATGGATAAAATTGTATATTTATACTTCTCTCTCCTCAATTAAGCTTCTTTTCTTCTCTCGTACTCTTTCCCAAAACTGAATTGAGCACTCCTCTCTCAATTATTAGTGTTCCTGGTGGAACCTAAAATCGAAACCAGTAAGCTTTATAGATGAGTTTTATCGGTTAGTTTCAAGAAATTGCAAAGAAAATAAACATTAAAACTCATCCATGAAGGTTACTGGTTTCGAATTTCGGCTCCACCAGTTAGACAAACAATTGAGAGAAGAGTGATGATTTCGGTTTTAGGTTCAAAGCTTCAAACTCAGCGACGGGTTTGGGATAGAAGTGCGAGATGAGGGAGGAAGCTTAATTGAGGATAGAAAGAAGTGTGAATTTACAATTTTATCCATGTTCTTAACGTAAATGTTAACAAAGGGCCATTCGTGGAAATAAATATAATAATTGGAGACTAAATTAGTAATATTTGATATGTAGGGACTAAATATTTAAAACGATCTATAATTGATGACCTTTTATGAAATTTACTCTATGAAAAATTACTTTTAAATCTATAGGATGAAAATGTAATACTTAAAACTATAAACATAATTTTATAAATTTAAAAGTTTTTTTATTATTTATAATTATTTAAAAGAATAACATGTAAATAAAATGTTTAATAATCGTTATAAAAAATCACTCTAAATAGGAGTAAAGCATAAAGAAAGTACCAAAATATGAGCTCTTTCTCTATGTTTTATTCCTATTTAAGGTGATTTTTTCAACGTTTATTAAATATTTTGTTTACATGCTATTCTTTTAAATAATTGTAAATAATCTAAAAAGTTACTTTCAAATTTATAAAATTATAATTACAGTTTTTAGTATTTTATTATCATCCTATAAAATTTAAAATATTTTCTCATAATTAATGTATTTTTATTTCAAAAATTGACCAAATTGAGAAAACACCCAGTTAGAAAGTACTATTTCAGAAAGTAGTATAAAGTTTAACTTTTTTTAGTATCGTTTTAACGGCCGTTTGTCCGGAGGACTGAAATGAGCATTATTCTCAAATATCGAGTTCCATTTCAGAAATTATTTAGTTTTGAAGACTAATTTTGAAAAACACATAGTTAATTAGTGTCATTCTGGAAATTTACTCTTTCTTTTGGGTAGTACACATTAGATTTTTTAGCATAAAAGTACTTCTATATAGCGGTTTGATGGATTAGGGATTTTTCCTAATCCAATATTATTTGAACAGTGCAAGAAAGCCCAATTTTATCTGGCCCAAGAGATAAATTAGATAAATTATCCAAGACAGAACCAGAAATATATGGACAGAAGAATATATTTGAAGTGATGTGGAGACATTTGGCGGGACCCGTGGAACACTACCACATGAAAACCACATGCCGCACATGGGCTTCACATGGACAATGTCCCTTCTTGTCTCCACCAATTATTCCCTTCCCCCCTTTAAATGAAGTTACGAAGAGAAGGAAGGGGGGCCAAGGCTAGATTCCTACAACATGTTCCTACAATTCTTCATTCTCCTTCTTTTAGCTTGGAGCTCCATTAATGGTTCCAAGCTCCTACAGTGATGTATATGTAAATTCCTCCGAGATTAATAAAAGTTTCTCCCCCTTTGGCATGGCACCGCCTAAAAAGGCCCGTGGTTTTCTCCCGATTTGGGTTTCCACGTATAAATACTTTCTCGCTATTCGGTGCGGTGCCGACCCAGTACCGATTTCGTCGGGTCGACGCCCCGAAAAAGCGGTTTCCATCATTGGCGCCATCCGTGGGACCGGTCACAAAAAGCTTTTGTGCTCTGAGTCCGTAATGGAAAAAAAAGAGAGAGAAGGTAAAAAAAATTAAATGGAAAAAGGGAGAGAACAAAAAGAAAGGGAGAGGTGGGAGAGAAAAGTCAAAATAAAGAAAGATGAGAGAGCCCATTTCCTTTTCTTCTCAAATCGGAAAGTCGCATCACCAGATCTGGACAGTGAGCTCCTTCTACGGCGAGCCACGGACAGCGGCAGGCCTCTGGTGAATACCTCCTTCCTCCGGCGAGCCACTCCCAGTCCTCTCCAGCGAGCCCTTGGCGAGCCTCTCTCCGGCGAGCTTAGATCCGTGACCGCTTGGAGATCCGGCAGAGTCATAACCGGCGACAAGCTTCGACGAGCCCTTGGCGACCGCGGCCAGCATGGCGATCCAGTAGACAAGCGATTCCTCTAGCTCCGACAACTCCTCCCTCAGCCGCCGAGCCGCGGACCGCGGGGATCTTTCTGGCGAGCAGCGAGCATGTGGTAGGGGGACGCCGGCAGTACCCTCCATTAGGGTCGGTGAGTATCCTCCCAGACCGGCGAGCCCTCTAGCGTTCTTCATCTCTGGCGGTATCCAGCGGCGAGCCAAACCACTAGCAATTGTCCACTCCGGTGAACCTTGGCCCGAGAGAAGCAAGCTCCCACTTCCTCCGGCGAGCCACGGATAGCGGCGGCGGCCTTGCGACGAGCTCCCACTTTTTCCGGCGAGCCACGGATGGCAGCGGCCGCGATTGTTCTTGTTTGTCCATCAAGCTCCCTTTGCTCCGGCGAGCCTCATCAACAACAAGCGAGCCTTCATCTTCGACGAGATCCAGCGAGCTCCGATTTCCTCCGCCAAACCATGGACGGAAGTGGCGGGCCCCTCTCCGCGGTCCTCTCTGGTGGTCCTCTCCGCGGTCCTCTCCGGCAGTCCTTTCCGTGGTCCTCCCCGGCGGTCCTCTCCGCGGTCCTCTCCGGCGGTCCTCTCCGGCAGTCCTCTCCGCGGTCCTCTCCATCAGTCCTCTACGCGGTCCTCTTTAGCAAGCCATGGATGGATATATCCTCAAGAGGACCGCTCCAGCTTTAGAGGTTCCAAAAGTGGACATATTTATCCTCCAATGGACCACTCCAGCTTCATGGGTCCCTCAAATGGACGGATTTTGCCTCAAGTGGACCGCTCCATCCTCATAGGCCCTTCACATGGACGGATTTTGCCTCAAGTGGACCGCTCCATCTTCATATGTCCTTCACATGGACAGATTTAGCTTCCTGTGGACCGCTCCATCCTCATATGTCCTTCCCATGGACAGATTTGGCCTCCAATGGACCGCTCCATCTTCATGGCTCCTTCACATGGACGGATTTGGCTTCCAATGGACCGCTCCATCTTCATGACTCCTTCACATGGACGGATTTGGCTTCTAGTGGACCGCTCCATCTTCATAGGTCCTTCACATGGACAGATTTGGCCTCCAGTGGACCGCTCCATCTTCATAGGTCCTTCACATGGACGGATTTGGCCTCTAGTGGACTGCTCCATCTTCATGAGTCCCTCAGATGGACGGATTTGACCTCCAGTGGATCGCTTCAACTTCATGAGTCCCTCAGATTGATGGATTTGGCCTCCAGTGGACCACTCCATTCTTCACGGGTCCCTCAGTTGGACATATTAAGCCTCTGGTTGTCCGTTCCAAGTTCTATAAGTTGATAAAAGTAATAATGTAAAAGAATAGAAAGTAGAGATCAGTAATTAGATCAAGTTAAGTGATCGGATTACTGGATATAGTCATAGACTCCCGTACCGAGGTTGAGGAAAGATAAGATAAGGAAAAGGATTGGGGCTTAAGGATGGGCTGAAGCCCAGCCCATTAAGAACAAGCTACCCAAAAGGAAGGAATCCTATAAAGAGATTAGAGTAGGCCCCCCTCAGTTCGAGGGATAGGGACGAAGAGAAAGGTGGACGGAGATTGTCTATAATTCAATAAGAGCGGAGCGCCCAACCACCGTCAGATAGATATCGGGTGGGGGTTTAGAGGCTCCCAAAGAATATTGAAAAAAGAGCCCCGAGAAAAGCCCTCTTCCCAGAGGCAACGAATCCCCGAGAGAAGTCCTCTCCCAAGAGGTACCGAGCTCTGAGAAAAGTCCTCTTCCCCGAGGCACCAAGTCCTCTTCCAAAGAGGCACCGAGTCCTCTTCCCGAGGAACTAAAAAGAAAGAAAAGTCCTCTCTCAAAGAGTCTCAAATCCCTAAGAAAAGTCCTCTTCCAAGAGGCACCGAGTCCTCTTTCCGAGGAACTAAAAAGAAAAAAAAGTCCTCTCTCAAAGAGGCACAAAGTCCCGAGAAGGTCCTCTTCCAAAGAGGCACAAAGTCCCGAGAAGGTCCTCTTCCAAAGAGGCACAAAGTCCCGAGAAGGTCCTCTTCTAAAGAGGCACAAAGTCCCGAGAAAGTCCTCTTCCAAAGAGGCACAAAGTCCCGAGAAGGTCCTCTTCTAAAGAGACACAGACCCGAGAAAGTCCTCTTCCAAGAGGCACCAAATCCCCGAGAAAAGTCCTCTTTCGAGAGACACTAAATTAAATCGTTACCCACGAGGTAACGAGGCCCTCCAAAAAAGAAAGTCCTCTTGTCGAGGTTCCAAGAAAAGTTTTGTCCCATGAGGCAACCCACCGAGTCATATAATTTTGAATCTGTCTCGTTCCCCGAGACAGACTCAAAACTAGGGGGGCATGTGATGGATTAGGGATTTTTCCTAATCCAATATTATTTGAACAGTGCAAGAAAGCCCAATTTTATCTAGCCCAAGAGATAAATTAGATAAATTATCCAAGACAGAACCAGAAATATATGGACAGAAGAATATATTTGAAGTGATGTGGAGACATTTGGCGGGACCCGTGGAACACTACCACATGAAAACCACATGCCGCACATGGGCTTCACATGGACAATGTCCCTTCTTGTCTCCACCAATTATTCCCTTCCCCCCTTTAAATGAAGCTACGAAGAGAAGGAAGGGGGGCCAAGGCTAGATTCCTACAACATGTTCCTACAATTCTTCATT